CTTCACCATACACGTGTCCTTTTTTGCAGATGATCGGACGGTCAAAAAGTAGTCGAGCGTGCAAATAGTGACTGTATATGTAGTTCAGGTTGGATTTTACAATAAAAAATACTTTAGGTTGAAAATCCCAAAAACACGTATATTACAGGATGGAAAAAATTATTTACCCTATATGTATTATATGAGGATCGTGGAGTCCAGAATCATGTTTAATTCATATATTTGGTTAATTTGTTAAGGATTGAATTTTGAATATTGTTGTTAATATTTACCCTAAATCAATTAAATTGATCAAAAAAAAATTTGTTCTTCATGTATACGAAATTGATGCTATTGTTAGGTTATGTAATGTGTTTTTCACCCTAAAACAAGAAAATAATGTGAGAATGATCATTGTACCACTATTCTTGATTATTGTACCTCCGTTTGTATGTATATATTACCACATTAATACTGTTTCGTACCACATTTTTCTGGGAATATGAAGTTTTATTTTTTTATTTACCCAATTATTGTTAGATACATGGAAGGGGCACAAAGTGATCTACTAGGGAGTTGTACGTACAATAATGAATTGTTTGTGTTTTCTATGCACATTGGATTAACGCTAGACGAAGTGTACACTCTCATATCTAAGAGGTGGCCGAACGTGTCGTTTTTTGCTATATTGCGCCAAAGGAAAAAAAGAAAGTTAGTTTGTTGGATGATGAGGATGTGAAGAACATGATTCGGTTAATGTTAGTTGGACAGTGAATATTGTAGACATGCTTTTGAAATTACATTTGTTATGGAATAATTTTTGTTGTATTCATATTTTTGAAATTATTTTTTTTAATAAATATAGTTTTATTTATAATGATAGATGTAATTATTTTTTATTTTATATATGCAATATGGATGTCAAACCGAAGATCATTAAAATATTATTATTTTGGGATATAACATACAAAAATTAAAATTAAAATAAAAATTATAAAGATTTAAAAATAAAAAGAATACATATTTATAATAAAAATTATTATATAAATTAAATAAGAGTAAGAGTAGTATATGATAGCTTGAGAAGAAAAAAACATAAAATAGTTTATGGTAATTCTCAAGCCTAAAACAGAACATGTACATGTGTCAATACACAGCATACAATTCATTGCGGTTTTTATATTGAAATTAAAAGACAAATTTGTTTCCATATAATGAAAATTACCTAAAAATAAAATTTCGAAACTAAAACTCTATTGAGTTTATGACCACTTGTCAAGGAAACTTAATTAAACACATTCAAATACTCATAGAAACTAATGTATAAGTGATTTGAGTAATATAAATATCATTTAAGACTGAAATTCAATGTGTTTTTTTTTTTTATGTTCGTGGAAATTGATACAGAAGACGTAATATCATTTACTAAACTACCATTTAATGGATACTGTCTAACTCTAGGAGTGATAATAGGTCATGTAAATATCATTTGAGACCAAATTTAGTGTTTTTTATGTTCGTCGGAGTTGATACTAAAGACTCAATATATGACACTAAAATTGAATTAATCCATTTTCGTTGACCAAAAGTAGGTATTAATTGATTAAAAATAGGTACTACGCAGAAAAAGAAGTGGTACTATTTCTGTCAAAACTGGTACTATTTTAGTAGTCGTGATTTCTTTAATCCTTGCCACGTGGATTGTTCATGCGTGATTTGGTTGAGAAATAGTGGAAGTTAAAACATATAGGTAGAATTTGGAGTAGTCATGTATGATCATTCAATGAGATGAAGTGTGTCTTTTAATGAGATGAAGTGTGTATTAGTAGTGTTTTTTTATTAGTACGTTGAGTTCGTGACCAATTTACGATTAAACTTAATTAAATGCGTTTTAAATCTCATAGAAACTAATGTGAGAGTGATAGTGGGTCATATAAACGTCATTTGAGACGAAAATTCTGTGTTTTTTTATGCTCGTCGGAGTTGGTACTAAAGACCTGATATCTGGTACTAAAACACAAAAAATGGTACTATCTTACTCTAGGTCTGATACTAATTTTTGCAAATATTGACCCAAATTAAAGTAATTCATTTCCGCTGACCAAAAGTAGGTACCAATTGATTAAAAACAGGTACTACGCAGAAGAAGAAGTAATACCATTATTGTCAAAACTGGTACCATTTAGTAATCAAAATTTCTTTAATCCTCTATGTCCACCATGCCACGTGGATCGTTCACGCGTGTTTGGGTTGAGAAATAGTGAAAACTAAAACATATATGTAGAATTTGGAGTAGTCATGTATGATGATTCTATGAGATGAAGTGAGTCATTCAATGCAATGAAGTGTATTATTAGTGATTTCTCATTAGTGCGTCGAGTTCATTATATTTTATGATTAAACTCAATTTAAAACATTTTAAATCTCATATAAACTAATGTGAGAGTGATTATGGTTCATATAAACATCATTCGAGACCAAAATTTGGTGTTTTTATATGTTCATTACAAGTGGTACTAAAGACCAAATATCTGGTACTACAACACCGAAAGATGGTACTAACTTACTCTAGGTTTAATACCAATTATTGCAAATGTTGACCACAATTGAATAATATATTTTCATTGACTAAAAGTTGGTACTAATTGATCAATACCTGGTACCACGTAAGAGAAGATGCGGTACTATATTCGCAAAAACAGGTACTATTTTAAGAATTGTGATATCTCTAGTCTTACATGTCTTCCATGACACGTGGATCATTCACGCGTGATTTGGATGAAAAATAGTGAAAGTTAAAACATATAGGTAGAATTTGGAGTAGTCATGTATGATGATTCTATGAGATGAAGTGTGTCATTCAATGAAATAAAGTGTATTAGTAGTGATTTCTTTTAGTGCGTCGAGTTCATGACCATTTTACGACTAAACACAATTTAAAACATTTTAAATCTCATATAAACTAATGTGAGAGTGATTATGGTTTATATAAACATCAATCGAAACCGAAATTTAGTGTTTGTATGTGTTCATTTACAAGTGGTACTAAAGACCAAATATTTGGTACTACAACACTGAAAGATGGTACTAACTTACTCTAGGTTTGGTGCCAATTATTGCAAATGTTGACCACAATTGAATAATCCATTTTTGTTGACTAAAAGTTGGTAGTAATTGATCAGTAACTGGTACCACATAGAAGAAGATGTAGTATTATATTGGCTAAAACAGGTACTATTTTAAGAATCGTGATTTCTCTAATCCTACATGTCTACCATGACACGTGGATCGTTCACGCGTGATTTGGATGAAAAATAGTAGAAGTTAAAACATATAGGTGGAATTTGGAGTAGTCATGTATGATGTTCTATGAGATGACGTGTAATATCCCATTCAGTAATTAATAAAAATAATTATTTTAGTTTCGAGTTTGAACTAAATTACTTTTATTAATAATGCTCGTTTCTAGTTGAGAGTCCAGTTACTAAGTTATAAGTTATAAGTTTGAATTTAAGTTGAAAGTATTCTTGGTTAAATTTTATATAGAAATCGAGCCAGTTCATTAATTAATTCCGGTCCGTTTATTTTTAGAAATGGATTTTATTATAGGAATTAATTATTTCGAATTGTTTGATAAGTTTATGATTAATTTGACATGAGTGTCTAATTTAATCATTTGAGTAAAATAATTTATTTAGACATTTTAGTCTATTTAAATTATTAAGAGAGAAATATGAAGGTTTTAAAATTTTTGGGTTTTTCGGTTTTCGATTGTAGTTGGAATTGAAGTCCGATTTCACTTCCAGAAAATAAATTAAATTATTTCCTCTCTATATTTTTAGTAGGCTACAAGATAAGAATTTTTTTTTTAGCATTAAAAGGAAAAGTGCCAAAAGCAAAAGAAGGAAA